TTAGGATCATAAACAGAGCTCTGCCTATGGTATTTACCAGGGTACAGATCTAGTACTGCAATTTCTACTTCCTAGGGCAGCATGAGTGCTATTGGCATGCTGCCAGTATCTAACATTGAACAGCAGTGTTTTAGAACATCCCTTCCTCAAATTCCTGGGAGCAATATGAGGGGGGAGGGATAGCTCAGTCGTTTGAGCATTGGCCTGCTAAACCCAGGGTTGTAAGTTCAATCCTTGAGGGGGCCACTTAGGGATCTGGGGCAAAAATCAGTATTTGGTCCTGCTAGCGAAGGCAGAGGACTGGACTCTATGACCTTTCAAGGTCCCTTCCAACTCTATGAGATATATTAAATATGGAGATATACGAAAGGAAAATCAGGACCCTGATGCCCAAACCAGCTGTTTGTAATATACATACACTGCAGTGTATTGGCTTCTACAGAATCATAGAAATGGAGAGCAGGAAGTGACTTCAAGAAGGTAAACCTAGACCATCCCTGACAGGTGTTTGTCCAACTTGTTTTTAAAAACCTCCAGTGATGTGGATTCCACAACCTCCCTTGGAAACCTGTTCCAGAGTTAAACTACCCTTTCAGTTAGAAAGGTTTTCCTACTCTCTAACCTAAATCTCTCTTGCTGCAGATTAAGCCCATTACTTCTTGCCTTACCTTCAGTGGACATGGAAAACAATTGATCACCATCCTCTTTATAATAGCCCGTAACATATTTGAGACTTATCAGGTCCCCCCTGTATCTTCTTTTCTCAAGACTAAACATGCCCAGTTTTTGTAACCTTTCCTCCTCCATCAGGTTTTCTAAACCTTTCAACATTTTTGTTGCTCTCCTCTGGACTCTCTCTAATTTGTCCTCATCTTTCCTAAAGGGTGGAGCCCAGAAGCAGACACTGTACTCAAGTGAGTCCCCACCAGTGCCGAATATAGCAGGACAATTATCTCCAATATCTCCTATTAATACACCCGAGAATGATATTCGCCTTTTTTGCAGCTGCATCACATTTTTGACTCTCATTCAATTTGTGATCCACTATAACTCCCAGATCCTTTTCATTAATACTATTGTCTAGCCAGTTATTCCCCATTTTATAGCTGTGCATTTGCTTTTTCCTTCCTAAGTGTAGTACCTTGCACTTGGCTCCACTGAATTTCATCATGTTGAATTCAGACCAATTCTCCAAATTGCCATGGTCCTGTTGACTTCTAATGTTGTCCCCTCCAAAGTGCTTGCAACCCCCTCCAGCTTGATGTCATCTGCAAATTTTATAAGCACACTCTCCACTCCATTATTCAAGTCATTAATTAAAATATTGATTAGTAATGGACCCAGGACTGACCCCCACGGGACCCCACTAGATAAACCTTCCCAGTTTGAGAACAAACTATTGATAACTACTCTTTGACCACACTCTTTCAACCAGTTGTGCATCCACCTTATAGTAATTTCATCTAAACCACATTTTTCTAGTTTTTCTTACGAGGATGTCATGTGGGACTATGTCAAAAGCTTTACTAAAATCAAGTAATCTTCTAGGGACAGTGAGAATCATCAAGGACTGCAGGTTTCCTATGGTTATGGGAGGTGTCATCAGGTGGCACTATTACAGTCTTTCAAGTTCTCTTACTTAGCGTGTGAGCAAATATTTGGTATTGGCTGTACAGTTAGTCTGGGTTATGTAAGGTTCCAGGTAGAGGGAGCTGTGTGAGCAGCAGTTTTTGCTCTCTGCCTTTATGTATAGTCAAATTCTTCTAGCAATATTGCTCTCTTGGAACTGAGCTGGTATTCCTGTGAGAAGAGATTGCTTGCATGCTCTTTGTCCCCACTCACCTGCCAGGACTAGGATGCTGGTATAAATAAAAGTTATATTTAGAACATACCCAGATGCTGCATCATTGATTCCTCCTCCCCCAGAGACAACCTACAAAGATCCAGAATTGTACACAGTACAGCTGGCCCTTTAAAATCTCTCCTGCCCTGCAGGGTGAATCTACTGAATAACCAAGTTCCAGAGTTGCTCTTCCTGCAGAACAGGAAGCCTTTTAAAGAGAGAGGACAGCATATCAATACATGTTGCAGAGCGTTCTGCAGCCCAAGGTCCACAGAGAAGGATTTATCTTCCTACAAAAATGTGATGGAATCCTACATGAAGTGCTTATGTGCTAATTTACTGATCAGTGGGAGCATAAAGGACCCTTGCTTCAGACATGAAGTCCTGCTGCTCTGGAACGGAGAGTGGATGTGTGAAGTGTTTAGGAAGCCTGGGGAGACCTAGCTTTGAGGAGAGTACTTGTTGCCTTCCCATTTATATCAATCTAGGTTTATATATATCCCCCCTCACCATGGTACCTGAACACCTGCTGGGAGAAAGGGAAAACTGCAAGAAACAGACACTAGTTTATTTAAGATTCGCAAAGGAAGAAAAAGGTCCAATTTGGAGAGGGAAGTATCCTGCCTTCCCAGGCCAAACATCACAAGGCCTAACCTGGATGTAAGGCTTTCTTAAAGCCCAGTCAAGAATATGTATAAACTTATGTAGAAAAAAATAATAAAATTAATCTTCTAAAGTAATTGATGATAAAAAAATGTGATAGACTTCCCAATCCTGCAAAGAAAACCAGTCTGCATTGGAAATAATGAAAAGAGGTAGCACTGAATTGGTGATTCTCATCATGCCTCAGCTGGAGAAAAGGACATAAGAGTTGAGGATGCAGCCTGGCAGGAAGGAAGTTTAACAGCTCAGAACTGCAGTTATTTTGTACTCTGAACTCTAAAAAGCAAGATTCCTGGAGTGCAGATTGATTATATTTTTATAATTATATTATATTTGAGCAGTACTCCCTAGTGAATAGAGCACTGGACTGAGACTAAGGAGACCCAGGTTCTAGTCCTGGTTCTGCTACTGCCTTCTGGATGATCTTGGGCAAGTCACTTCCCCTTTGTGCCTCACTTTCCCTATCTGTAAAATGGGGATAATGATGCTGACCCTTCTTTGTAAAGGGCCTTGAGATCTACTGATGAAAAGTATTATCGTAAGAGCTAGGTATTATTCTATTTACTGTTATTACTTACCTTTGACCAGAAGGCACTTAAACTGGAGGAGAAAGAACTATCCTTAAGTTGAACAAGAATCAATCAGTTAAGAAAAAACCCTCCATTTCAGCCTTGTGGCCTAAGAAGTGGCATGTTAGCAAAATTCTTTTTATTTAATTAAAAGGAAATACAGAAAATATCCTTTTCTTTATAGAAATGAAGTAGCAAAATGTTCTTGAAAAGTTACCACTACACTATGGTCTGCTTTGAATGGGGACATAAAACTTCTGTCATGACAGTTCAAATACACAATCAGTACATTCAATTCAAAGTGAACACCATACATGTTAATAGTGGTTATTCCCCAAAAACTTTGTTTTGATTAGACGTGCCCTGAAAGTCGCATCTTAAAAACTCTCTGCAAAATGAGGTAATTTCACCCCACAATATAACAGCAGCAGTTCACATTCATTCTATTTATTCACATTTAGTAGTTGCACCTATCACAAGCACTAGCTGCATCACACTATTCCTCTAACACACACACACACACACACACACACACACACTAAACAAAATAAAATTACTAAACAAGGTCTTCGAACCCAAATATACTT